ATTCTCTTTTATGTGATTACATGTTTTTAAAGAAATTGTTATTTCAGCTGAGAAAGCACCCTAAAGTGTATTCATATTAGGTGTAAAAAACGAATGAACTATTTTCTCTCTGCTCTCTCAGATTTCATGTAGTATTCTGCCTCAGCTGTTTCCATGTAATGCTGTATTTGATCAAAAATATCTCCTTGTGTCTTGTCTGTTTCTCCTTTGCAAAGCTTTCCCGGGTCCTAAGTCACTGAGCTCTGGATGGGCACAGTAGTAGGTGAGGGAGGAAAGAGGAAATACTCGCTTCTTTTGTCAGTGATAGGAAAGAAAGATCCGTTTTGGCTTTGTGAAGTGGGCTCATCTCTCAACTCTAGGCATTTGGCATCGCGGCTGCTGTGGTTACTATGGAAGCAAATTGTCTTTGGATAATTGAATGGGCAGACTGGTCTTGAAACGCTTTTCCTCCTGGTTCCCTCTTTCAGAAGCAAGGGCTGGTCCTTGTCTGGTTTCCAGGAGGTGGATGGGCAAGGCCAACTCGTGGAGGATTGTCTTCCTGGCTGTGGATCCACAGCTTTGGTGACTTTTGGAATGCTCTGTTTTTTTTTCTCCTGTGACCTGGTACATGAAATGTGAAATACCCTTTGAATTCATATCCAGGGATATATTTGCTGAGTTTCCAGATTCAGTACTCACTCAATTTCCTTTTTCCCTTTTTTTACTTGTACTCAAGGTATTTTGTTTCACACTGTCAGAGTCCTACTCACGGCAAGTTCTTATGTGTTCGTGAACCATCAGTCTGTGTCGCGCTCTCAAGCCTGTTGCAGTCCTGTGATTGCTGTCTCAGGACCAGCACCTGGCAGCCTGATACCCTTCCAGTCCCTGACTGCAGCCTCTGTTCACTCCTCCTTTTTCGCTGCTACTTCCAGATGAATCTTAAAACTCCTCTTCTACCACATCCCAGTGGCTTGCTGTTAAACATGTGAGCCAATTAAAAGGGTTAGCTTGATTTCAAGGTCCTATCTGGAATCAGGATTTTCTCTCAACATGCTCATAACTCTTGCAGTACATACTCAATTTCTGTGATCCCCAGGGGGTTTGAATCCCTAAGAAATTGGAGTTAATTAAATCTGTCTTCCAAGCTCCTGTCCGGGATGTGGCATTCTTGTGACCCCATCTCTGCCTCCAGCCACCTCCTGTGCTCACCCTCTCTTCACCTGTGCTTCACTTACAGGATGGCTGTCTCTTTGGAGCTGTGTGGGAACTCTGGGCTGGGTGTGTGTGGACTCAGCAGATTCTCACCTCTGTTCTTGCTTGTGTAGTTGTCCTGGGACTGTTGTCTGTGTAATTATGCCATCTGCTTAGAATGTTAAGGGAAACTGAAGGGACATTGTTCATTTTCTGCAAGTCTCACCAAACATCACCTCTCCATTTATCCAGTTTCTGTGTAGATTACCCAAAGGGCACCTTTATTGTGTCCCAGAGACACTGAGGATAGAAAGAAGTCTAAGGTATATCTGGGAAGGTCCCTGGAGTGAAGTATCTCTTCCTCCACTCCCTGGCTAGGTACAACCTCTTTTTCCATAAAACCTTTCCTACATTTCCCACCCAGCCATCCTACATAGCTTAATAGAAACAAAAATAATGTTAATCCATTTTTTCCCATTGGGAATAGGAAAGTGAATGAATTTGAAATGACTTGCTTTATCTTTGAAGCTCCTTCATATATTCTCCCCACCCCCATCTCTCAGAGCTTAACTCAGTGTCTTGCTGCATAAGTCCTTAATAAATGCAAATGTAAGACAATCTCCTCTGCCATATCATGAGTTCATCTTCTTGGTGCTTTTTGAGAATTCAAAAGACAGACTGGTTTTGATTAAACTCTGTGTCATTCAAAAGACAGCTGGCCATAGTATTACTTTTAAACATATTTGCTTCTGAAAAATTTAAAATTGCCTTAGAGCAGTGGGTCATCTTTAGTTGTTACTTTTATTTTTCTTCTTCTCTTGGATTTATTCAGTAACTCACCAGTTTTTGTTATTTATTTCTTCAAAATATTCATCTTCACCTCTTCTTCTTTATTCCCATGATCTGCCTCATGGGAAGCATTTACTCACTCTGATAATCCCATTCATTCCTCCCCTTTTGCCAATGATTACCTCCGCAAGACAAGTTCAGATCTTTCAAAATAAACCAGGTACCTTGAAACACTCAGTGTCTTCCCAACTTCCAAATTCTAAATTCTCTTTCCCAGGACCTCACTTCTTCAGCCCTCTCTTGCTCTCTTCTCCCTGATACACACAGGTATCAGCTGGCCTCATCTCTTCTGTATTCCATCTATGTTTCCCACTGTGCAGTGGGGTCACTGATGTATATTTTCATCAGACCCTGACTGAGTGCTCTCAGATAGAGGTGGTGTGGCCTTTTTTCAGACCCAAGGATACCCATATACTAGCAGCTTAGCTCCCTGGTGGAAAACTGACTATGTAACTCACTTTCAGGACTTTGGGGAGAATATCATTTTCGACTTCCTGGTCTCAAGACTGACATGAACTAGGATGAGTGAAGCATCATTTATCCAGCCTGCAGAAGACAGTGTGGACCCTTTTCTGAAGCCTGTTCTTGGAACCAGACCAGCTGAGGAAGGATGGGGCTCTAGATCATATACTCTGGGGCTCACCATTAGGGATGTTCATTTAGAATTTCACATTTCAAGCAATGTTGAGGGATTTTACAAAAACGGTTTTGGTGAATCTTGTAGTCACTTTAACGATATTATTGAGGGACCTGTTCGCTACATTATTGAACATTTTCTTTATGAGAATCCATGAGATTTTTTTTTCCTCTCTGGTCTCAGACTTGGATTAATTGAATTTGGAGTAAAATGTGATTCTTATAGCTAACCATGTGTCCCTCTTTGTGTTGGCTGCTCCATAGTCCAACTAATTTTGTGGACTACTTTAAACTAAGTATTCCCAACATAAGGAATATGTGTGGCTGCAGTCCAGGCTTCATCCTACCATTTTCCAGATTTCCTCTGATCTCATCTATCTTGCCTTTTGTTTTATTATATGTGTTTTTGTAATCTACCTTGTTAGAATAAGATGGGGTATAAATTCACATATAAGCACATCTAACTAAAGTTGTAGCTAGGTAATTTATTATTTGTTTATTTTATTTTAGTGGTACTAGGGATTGAAACCAGGGCCTTGCATATGCTAGGCAATTGCTCTATGGATGAGCTACCTCTTCATTTCTTTTTATTTTGATACAGTGTCTCAATAAGTTGCCTCTTGTGAGCCAGCCATGGGCTCTGTGTGTGAGCTATGCACATTTGAGCACATATGGGGACTGAACTGACCTTGTTGCTGTGACTGGGCTGTGTGAACTATGTGTCCTTTTTGCTTGTTCTGCCTGTGTTCCCACACAGCACCTGAGATGGGTGTGGCTTTCTAAGCTGTCAGTCATTTTGCTGACAAGCAACCCCCTGAAACCCAATCCTTTGCCTTATTTGGGTTGAACTTTCTCAAATGTCTTTCTCCCCTAATAAATTGGGTTTCAGGCATGTTCTCTGTCTTTTGCCTACCTCTCTTGACTCCCTTGTGGGAGCTAGGGCTGAGGAGCCATCACTGAACCCCCAGAAAGGTATTTTCTCTCTCTTTCTCTGGTTATTTAGTAGCCAGCCCACCTGGAGTGACCCTGACTGATTCAGTGAACTTGAGATCCTACTGCCTCAACTTCCTGAGTAGCCTGCATTATAGGAGTGCATTACCATGCTCAGCAACCATAATTATTTAGATAAAAACATAACTCACAATTATTTCTAGATACTATAGTTTGAGGAAATGTATTAAAGGAAGCTTTAAAATATTCTATTTCTATAAGTTAGAATCCTTTATATCTAGTAGTTGAAACACTAGCATAAGATGCGAGGAAAGTAAATTTTAAGGAAAATTTTAATGTTAATTTTAAGGAAAAGCAAATACAAAAATGGTTAATAGACTAAATAGACTGACAAGTTAGGAAACACCAAGGATATTCTAATACACATTCACTCTTTTATGGGACATTGGGTAAAATGTCCTGAAATCAGGACCTACGTGAGGTAATACTGCAATCAGCTTCTTTGTACCACTGAATTGCAATCACAAAGCACTACATGGTATCCTAGTGACTAGAAGCAATTTATGATTTTAAAAATTGTTTACATTTTTTTTCATTTTCCTGTTTTGTTCAAAGGGAATATTTATGATTCAAAACAAATCCTTCTCTAACCCAAAGTCATTGCAGAGGAAAATTGTAAAATTGATTGGGCACAGATATAAATAAAGAAAACAGAAAATTAGCAAAAGTTCCTGATTTCTCCCCTTAGAAAAAAGATGTTACAGGGCTTTAAGCATGCCAGAAACAGTAGAAATTACACACTGCCCCCTCACCAACCCAACATGGTGCCAATAGAAACTGCTAGACAAACTAGTAAAATGTGGGAATTTATTGGCAAAAAGATACCTGAGAAGTGGGCACAGAGCTGGCTGGTGAGACAAGATGACTTCCATCCAAGGAAGGCACTGCTTCTAATCTGACTACTCTATACCGCCTCTGGTGGCAGAAAGTGAATTTAGCAGGGACCATCAGGATCCATCAGAAGGTATAAAAACCTCCCAAGTCGTGTTGTAATTACCAGAGACTTGTTAAAATGTGACATTATGGTCAGAACTGTTGGGAAACACACTCTGAGAAAATATATATCTATTCACATATTCACAGTATTTATCAGGCATTTGGTAGATGCACGGCTTTGAGATATGGATATTGAATCTGTTCATCAATGTGTAATATTTTCCTGCTGTTGCTGCTGGTGTGCGTGTGTGTGTGTGTGTGTGTGCGAGAGAGAGAGAGAGAGAGAGACATACACAGGTGAAAAATGAAATTGTGTTTTGATTCTAAACATTTCTAGGAATATAAGATCTGTTTAGATTTTCGTGTGGATTTTAATTGCCTATTTTTAAATTTCACAGTGTGTGGACAATATACGATGTAATGGTTTAATGACTATAGTATTTGAAGAAAATTCCAAAGTTACTGTGCCACATATGATTAAGTAAGTGCAATAATCTTTTCTCTCATGTTTTAATCAAGATCAAATTGGCAGAGAATGTAAAACCTTGAATAAAATAGTCATTTCAATAGAATTCTGCTTCTTATCGAGAATGTTTGCTGAAAGTCATGTGATAATTCATGTTATGCCATTATAAATAGCAAGGTTATCAAAATGGTTTTTCATATTCATAGTTTATTGACTTATAGGAAAGAAAAATTGTTTTTCATACTGTTACATACTCCATCACTCAGGACAAAATCCTGTCAAGATGTTCAAGTTTAATATAAAATATCAAAATAGTGATAGCCAGATGTATCTAAGGTCAGAGGGTGGACCAAGGTGTGGCTGACTTACATGGCATCCTCCAAGTGGGCATGAATCATATTATGCAGATTTGGCCGTGGAGATACATTTAGACTTTGAACACACCTAGCATGAATCAACTGGCTTGGCCATGGTACCTTCTGTCCCCTGCCTTTATCTGCTTTGGACCAGAAGCTATTGACGTTAGGGCTGTTATCCTTCTGTAAGTGTCTCAGCAAAGCAAGTCTTATATCTTAGAGGGATCCCGAAGAACACTGTAGTTTACACTGAGAAGTTACATCAATATGTGCTAGAACTCTCTGTATTACATTTCGTCTCCATATACTATTTTGTTTTCAAATTCAGAAATTGTTTTGGGAGTGTTTTGAAAAGGACCAAATTGTTCCTTACTTTCATTTTTTTTTGATTAATTGCTTTCCCAGTTCCAAGAGTAAAGTGCATTTTTAAAAAGCAATTTGGTTATATTTTGCAAAACAAAAGGCTTTTTGAAACCAAGAACATGTTTGACTTTCTTGCTTTCTTGTGTGGATATTTTGAGGTCTGACTTGTTTATTCTAAGACAGTAAATAACATTAACTTTGGAAGGATAACTTTCCTCTTCTGACAGATATTAACTACAGTTAGCATGATCCTTGTGGTACAAGTTTGAGAACTTGTTGCATCAGATGAAGGCAGAGTACATAATAGTAGTACAAAAATAGCTATAGAAAAAATATCATTCAATTAAGGAATGATATAATTTAAAATTATTAGTCAAATCTTAAAATATTTTGGGAAGGGCCATTTTAAAACTCTAATGCAAAAGTTACTTTTGCATACAATTTTATAAGTTTTTAATTTGGTATTTTTTTAAACACCAGATTATTTAAAAATGTATGATGCTAAGATTAAGAACAGGGCTGGGGTTGTGGCTCAGTGGTAGAGTGCTTGCCTAGCATATGCGAGGCCCTGGGTTTGATCCTCAGCACCACATAAAAATAAATAAACGAAATAAAGGTATTGTGTCCAACTACAACTAAAAAATAATTATATTTTTTTAAAAAGATTAAGAACAAATATGGAGTGTGAAGACAGAAGGTCCAAATCATGATTTAAATTTTGGATTTACATCATTGGGTTTAGATTTTATTTTCATTTTGTTTTAACCACAGGATTCCAATTTTAATTTTTCACAAAATGATACATATGATTTTTGTTCTTCATGAAAAGTATTGGTTGAAGGTTAGACAGCCATGAAAGTCCAACTGCTTTTGAGACAGATGTGTGAGTCAGACAGCATAGCGTAATTATAACTCCCTACCCCAGGGCAGCTGAACATCCATTATACATGCATTGTGTTGACCTAAAAAAGGTGTGGTGGCACGCACCTGTAATCCCAGCTACTCTGAGTGGGAGGCGGAGGCAGGAGGATCACAAGTTTGAGACCAGCCTGGGCAACTTAAAAAAATAATAATAACAAAAACGGGCTGGGGATATAACTCAGTGGTAGAGGGCTTGCCTGGCATGCACGAGGCCCAGCCTGCAAAACAATAGAACAATGATGATGGTGATGATAATGATGATGGTGATGATGATGATGATGATGATGGAGGAGGAGAGGTGGAAGAAGAAGAATCCTTTAGTTTTGTACCTGACCAGTTGTGGCTTTTGTGCCCACAACAGCAGTTTTACCAACATCCATGTCCATTTGCACCACCACTTTCATACAGACCAAGATTTGCTGCCTTAAGAGTATACGATAATTAAACGAGTAGGAACTGCTCTCCTGCTAAGACGAGATCCTGTCTCTTGGGCTATAAGGATTTTCATTTTTTTTAAATATTTTTATTTTAGTTATTTATTTTTATGTGGTGCTAAGGATTGAACGCAGGGCCTCGAACATGCTAGGTGAGCACTCTACCACTGAGCCCCCTCCCCGCCCCGCCCATAAGGATTTTCTATTAAAGCTAAGAAATCTAGACTACACTAGGTGTATTCCTCAAGCAGAGTTAAGTTTCATATATTTACTCTTTCTAGTTCTCCCAGCTTCTTTGAGCCTGCTTGTCACTCAATCAGAGGAAAGAGTGTGATTTTGCCATCTCCATTCCACCTTAAATTCTGTTATTTCTGCTACCCTGTACATCTGTCTTCCTGGCTACAAGCCATGAAAACAAAACAAACAAACAAACAAAAAATGTGTTTCAGAGTTAAAAGAAAAATTATCCTGTTGGAACCATGTCTTGTTATTGACAAGGCAGCACTTTCTAAGCACTTACTTCCTTTTAAAACTTACCGATTGTAATAAGTGATTTGGTTTTGATCTCTTACAATTGCTTTTTATGTTTACCAAAATGGAGTTGCTGTGATCCTAGGAGACTTAAGTAATGCATTCTATCTTTCTTGATTGTCCTTTGGGAAATAAAGTAAATTCTAGTTCAGTATAATAAAAGAAAATTAAGTAATTTCATAATATTTAATTTCTTTTCCTTAAAATGAAAACAGTCACAATTTTGAAGGACAATGGCATAATTAGTTTAATTTAATTTTATGCTTCTGGAAACATTTTTTTTTTTTCCTCCTAGTGTTTTGAATAAACTAATTATAGTCAAAAGATGCAAAGCTCAAAACTATGATTAGAATGCAAAACCACTTATTAGGTGAAAATATCCCTTTAAATGATGTCTAGCTAAGGCTGTTTTCAAAAAATAATATTTGACCTCAACTCTCTTAGAAAATTGAGGTTTTAGGTGGAAAACAATCGGAGAAAAATTGCTTATTTTCATTAAACCATCTTTGGAATCGATTGATGGATTCAAAAACATCACTCAGGTCTTTTTACAAATAAGAACATTAAGAACCAGAAAAATAAACTTGATTGAGGGTTACATAGTGAGTGGCAGAAAGAGCCACACTATTTTCAACAATCTTAAAAAAAATGCACTTGTATATTTCTAAGATCAATAATATGACTAAGCTAACAGGCTACCCTTAGTCAGTTCCTCAGCAGGAGTCAGCTGGTCATTTAAAATGCTCTTTCAGGCCTTCAGAAGAAGTATTCCCACCTGCACTGAGCATACTTTGGACTGGGAAGTTTCCAGGAGCAAGCTAAGAAAGCTATTGATTCCTCTCTAGTCAAAGGAAATAAATATATAATTTAACATCCCTCGAAGTGCCAAAAGGGCTAATTAAAAGTGCTCACAACAAGCCAACTGATTCTTAGCAGGCAGTTGGCTCACTGAAAGTCACTGGTGCCATATCATATCCTTTTAATTAAATGGTGAAATCCAGGACTTTGCTGATTGCTTGTTACATGCAGCAATGAAGGGGAACAAGGGACCTCAGAAGTGGAAGTGAAGGCTACTGGCAGTCTTCATGGTCCACTAGAGAGGCTGCCAGAGCAGTGCCCTAGGGTGAGGAATGGGGGACCCCCAGGTGAGAGATTCCACAGAATGATAGAAGCAGGGTATTTCGTGGTGGCAGTGGTAGGTATTGTTTAGGGGAATCTGTCTCAGAAGCTATTTTTTAAATGAGAATATTTTTAATATTGCAGAATATTGAAAACATTATGAAAATGTAACATTTTCACTTACAATTTATGATTTAAATTGCATTCTGAAATTTTAAATACATTTATAAGCCAGGAAGAATGAAATGAATGAATTAGGCTTTCAATTCAAGGAGTTAGGAAAAAGAATGAGACTAACCTAGGAAGAAAGTATAGGAAAGAAACAATTAAGAACAGACAGTAATCAGTTAATACAAAGAACCAAGGGAGAGTTGATAAATTAAAGAGCCAATTACAGAGGTCAAATGCCAAATCATATAGCAGTAATATCTATGTCTTTTCCTCCTCAGTGTGTTTTTGGGGTGTCAACTGCTATTTTTTAAGCATGCTTCTGATATTTTTAAGCAAAATTCTCTTTTTAGGGCATAAGAGATGCTTTTCCCCTCCTTAAAGAGGGCTTTTCATTTTCCTAATAAAATATGGTTCAACTAGAAAGAGAAGGAAGCCACATAGTGAAATGAGTTATTATTACATCCTCCACAATTAATTCTAGCCTTCTTCAATTATAATGCCATAAAAATATTCCTAAATATACCTGATATTTTTGTAGCCTGCTTTTATGCCTATGTGTCATATCTGCATGTACGATTGTCCATCTTCTTTTGAATGCAGTGGGAAGCCCACACAGGAGTGAGTTTATAAATGCTGGAGGACTCAGTGGCCGAGAAGGGAGCCTTATCCTGGTTTGGTTAACATGTCCCTTTTTTGCACATAGGTCTGATGCCCGTCTTCATAAAGATGATACAGACATTTGCTTCAGTAAAACCCTTAACTCCTGCAAAGTACCCCAGATCCGTTATGCCAGCGTGGAGCGTCTCCTGGAGCGGCTGACTGATTTGCGGTTTCTGAGCATCGATTTCCTCAACACCTTCCTGCATACATATCGCATTTTCACCACGGCCACTGTGGTGCTGGCGAAGCTCTCTGACATATACAAGAGGCCCTTCACCTCCATCCCTGTCAGGTACAGGGTTTGTCCTTTCAGTTCCTGTGTCACTGTCCACATGAACGGCCCAGGTCCTCAGAGTAGCTCCTAGGGCACTCACTGGCTTGCTTTTGATCTCACTATGTCCCTTGCCCCATTGGAAGGTGGTAAGTAAAGGTCACACATAGGGGAAGAAGTTGAAAACCCCGAAGTTTCCAAGTAGCTTTTGCTTGCTTTTTAAAAAATATTTTTATTAGTTATCAATGGACCTTTATTTATATGTGGTGCTGAGAATTGAACCCAGTGCCTCACACAGGCCAAGCAAGTGCTCTACCACTGAGCCACGACCCCAGCCCCTTTTGCTTGCTTTTAACTATTTGGAAGCAGTCTATTACATTAGACTATTCTATTTTTTTTTTGATGATGTACTATTCATACTTTAATATACATAAGAATCAGCTGGAGGGACTGTCTTATTAAATTACAGGAGATTCAGTGGGTCTAGAGTAGAGCCTGAGTTCTGATAAGTGCCCCAGACACTAGCTGCTGGTCTTTGCAACCTCCGTTTAGTAGTAAGGGTTAGACGATGTCTAAAAGGTGTCTGTGTTCCTTTGGCAGGTGCATGACACACATGTGACATTTAGATTAAGGAAAATGCAATAGTAGAAGTGTGATGGTATCGTAGTCTTTAAATGTAGGGAGCATGTTCTTGGATGACAGTTGGGACATCATCATCACTAGGCTGCAATCTGTTAATAGTGTTTCCTGTTATTTTCAGGTCACTGGAATTGTTTTTTGCTACCAGTCAGAACAACAGAGGTGAACATTTGGTGGATGGAAAATCCCCACGTTTGTGTCGCAAATTCTCTTCCCCACCACCACTGGCAGTGTCCAGAACATCCTCCCCAGTGAGGGCCAGAAAGCTGTCCTTGACTTCTCCCTTGAACTCAAGGATAGGAGCCTTGGACCTGACCACCTCCTCGACATCCAGCAGTCCTACCACCACCCATAGCCCCACAGCATCCCCACCGCCGCACACTGGTAAAGTACCGTTGGATCTTAGCAGAGGCCTCTCTTCTCCAGAGCAAAGCCCGGGATCCGTAGAAGAGAATGTAGATAACCCCCGCGTGGATCTGTGTAACAAGCTAAAACGAAGTATTCAAAAAGGTATTATGCAGCACATTGACTTGATCACACCCACTTTTGCTGCCACCTGCTTCCACACCATTCCTTCTGGAACCTTCCCTCCCTTTCTTCACAGCATTTCTACTTCCGCATAGAAAGTAGAATGGATACAATGGCTAGTTAGAAGAGAACATTCCTGTAGCTTCCTCTAGCCCTTGTGGAACCAGGAGCGGAGTTAGTTCTCCTCATTCCCTACAGTCAAAAGGCTCCCTGTAGGCAGTTGTCAAGGGAGAAATAGTACATGTGGGTGATATTAGTGGAGAGTTCTTGGACTTTGGTGTGAGGCTGGCTGGCTAAAGAGCCTACCAGGCTACTTTGTGGAGAGGCAGGATGTGGGCACCCCCATCCGTGACCTTGGCCCTCCACTCTTCCTCCACCTCCATTTCTGCCCTAAGCACCTGTATTGCTCCCAGCCTTTCCCTGTTGAGCATGACCTAGACAGGAAGCACAAAGATGGCTTCAGTTTAGTCAAGAGGGCAATGATCCATACCATAGTATAGGTATTGGGAGAAAAATCAAAGTGAAGATAGTCTCATTTATCCTTGACATGTCCAAATGGTTTTTTAAAATCTGGATTAGAGCATATATGATTTTAAATTCTCTAACGGCAATCCATTGCTCTTAGAGGAACGTTCTTCCTCCACGGCTTTCAGATCTTGTGAGACTTCAGTGCTCTCTCCCTCTCCAATCCCTGCTCTTGCCAGTGCCCCTCATCTGGTGGGCTTCAGTCATGTTGATTTCCCTTTTGTGTCTTGGGAACCTCTTGCCATTCTGGCCCAGGCCTCTGCCTGGGCAGCCTTACCCAATTGAGCTCCATGAACTCTGCAACCTTGTCTGTCTTGTTCACTCCTGCTTCCTCAGTGCCTCGGCCACTGCCTGGCAGGAAGTAGATTTTTGTTAGATGAGGGAATGAAGTAAAACACTCTGGGAACTAACTCAGGGTGCCTGGTGTGTCACCATATCGTCCTCAGCTTGGTACAAGTGGGGGTTGTAGGCGGCGATCCTTACAGCTTTTAAAATTCAATGTTTCTGTGATGCATATTAACATTGTTTCACAGCCAAAGTAACAAAGAACATTTTTTTTCTGTCTAATATCTGATTTATTTGTTGATAACATAAAAATTAGACAACAGATCAGACAAAGTGTTCAGATTTCAAGGAGGATCACCAGATGGGCCCTTGCTTTTCTACCTGCTGGAAGTATCTATGTGCTTTCTCACTTGGATCATTTGAATAAGCTTTCCCAAGTGAAGTATCTGATGGAATTTTAACTGGAGTGGTTGTCATCATCAACAGTAGCACCCTTTTTAACAAGAAATTCTTTAAATTGACAAGTTAGCAACTATGGAGGAGGAAAGGGGGAAGATAATTAAAAAGTCATTAGAACAACAAGCGTCAGCAAAATCACCATGGATTCTTCTAGAAATAATGAGGCCACGGCAAGCTGATGAGAGCGTCAGCTGCCTCATCCAGCACCAGGGCTTGGGCAACACTGTGGAGGGATGGCTTATTTCCACCTTCCCCGGGGCCATGTGGCCTGGGAAGTGTGGGGGTTTCCCAACGTGTGGAAAGTTCTTTCTCCTCCTTTATGGGATTACAATAAAGAGAAGGAGAAATCTCAAGGTAAATGTGGATCCTCATGTTCTTTTGAGTTAGGGGAGCTTTAGGGACAAGCAGAGTGGTGTCAGATGTTAGTAACTCTGAGGGTGTGGTGAGATAGCTCCTGGGTCTGGGATGAGGTCTGTTGTTCCACATGTGGCAAAGTCGTTAAGAGTCTCTGTGCCAAGTACTGTGTGTGCTAGAGTTCATAAGGGTAGTGTGTGGTAAATAGGATGGCACCCGACCCCTCCTACTCTACTTATGTGGATATTATAGACACAACTATAAGAGTAGATGATGCAAGGGGTGTAGACAGAGTGCTCTGGAAGTGGAAAAGCAGGGAGAGCATATTTGGCTGAGCAGAATTGGGATGTGTCTTTGACATGAGCCAAGAAAAATAGACATGGATGTTGGAGGGAGGAGATGGGCCATCTTCTGGACAAAGAGCAAAATGGTCACCTTGACCACATTTCCAAGTGCCAGAGACATCACTGCTCCTGAAGGGGTAGCTTTTGCCCTGTTTTGATGTCATGGTCAGCCTTGTAGAGCAGACCCTGTTATTAGTCTTTTTAGGGCTTTTTAGTATCAAGCAAACTTAAACATACCAATAAAAATGCACCTAAGAGATTTCCTTGACCTCTTTCTCCTTCTTACTATCTCAACTATTTTCAAATTAAGATTGTTTATTAAACTACATTCACATTAGAACTCTAGAACTTTCTCATTTTGTAAAACTGAAAGTAAACCCACTGAATAATATCTCATTTCTTTGTCTTCAGGCCCCTGGAAATGATAGTTCTCTCAACTTTTATGAGTCCAACTACTTTAAGAAGTTCATATGAGTAGAATCACACAGTATTTGCCTCAAATGATTTAGAGTTAAGTTTTCAAGAGTTAATTCATGCAAATTTTCATAGCTTAGAAATGTCATTTTGCAGTTCCAGGTCATGTTAAATGCTGAGCTTCTCCTACTCTGGGTAATGGGGAAACACCAAGATTGTGCACAGGTGGGGTCCATGGTCTTTGATGAAGACCACAGAGCCAAACTCTGCTCCAGAGACACCAGCTTCTCTGCTTCCTGGGCTTCTTAGGCACATCCACCCACTAACACATCTCCCCTTAGCTCTCATTTTTACCATCACCTTCCCCCAGAAACCCCACTAATTCTTCCATTATGCTCTTCATTCCTGTCTACTTTGATCTTTTTTTCTTTTCCCTTTCTATAGCTGTCTTTTAATTTCTTTTTAATGCATTTATTTCCCAACGTACCTAGGAATATTAAAGGTGGTAGTACAAAGAGACACATGGTACAACTGGATTAAAATAAAATAGGTAAGAAAATCAGGCAAGGGGGGGGAGAAAAGAAAAGTTATGTGAGGACAGAGGTATGGCTAGTGGCCCTCAACAGCCACTGGAGCCCCCCTAAGTTTGGTTCTGAGCTTCTCAGTGACAGAATAGAGACAGGAATGTAATCAATTACACAATTCATATCAAAACCAGGAATAGATTGGTTGAACAGGCACATCTTTCCTTGCTATTGAGACTTGGAAAAGAAAACACTGTGAGTGAAAAAACAAAAATGCTTAGAATGAAGACTGGGATTATGATAGATCTTTGGCATTCTCCATAATAGGTAAACAAAGGAACTGTAGACTTAGTTTTTTCTTTCATTCTGCATTGGCATAAGGGCAATACTGGCCATGAATAGAATTAGGGAGATCATGGATGATCTCTTCAGCATGTCTGATAGCTGTGTGTGTGTGTGTGTGTGTGTGTGTGTGTGTGTCTGTGTACATATGTGTGCTGTCTGTGGGAGTCAAGAGGGCTGCTCTGTTAACCCTGTTGTCTAATCCTGAAAATTCCAGTTGGCAAAGAAAAGGGTGACACTGATCTGTCTTTAATTTGAAAGATGTTCACGAGTGCTTTGCATAATGTTAACAGTTAAAAGTTGGCGAACTTGAGTAAGAATCCTGTGCCAAGAGGTGATACATTTTCTGCTCTTCATTTCAGGATACAGCCCCACACAATCTCATTGTCTAATACCTATGTTCCCATGAGGTCCATCCAAGTCCATTGGTCTTTTTCACTGCTATCCACCTAGACAGTTCAGAGCATGTGCTTTAAGGAAGGCTAATTTCAGTTTTATTGTCACGGCAGTGATAGCGCCAGCATTATAATATTTCTGGCAAGAGAACTTGAAATGGCATGAAGGAAAAGCAGAGAAGTAGTACATTTCCCTCAAAATGAGACAGGTAATAAACATTTTAGGTTAAAAATATACAATTTAGTTTTCCCCCAACCTAGTTCCTAAATCTGTTGCAGGTTCCCCAACATTCACTAGTGCCCTACCTTCCTAATACCAGGCATTCCCCCACCTTCTTCTAACTCAGGTGTTTCTAAAAAGCTAATCTCAGCCTGACTCAAATTCCACCCAATGATGGATTCTCAATGAAAGACCAATGGCAGACAAGAAAGCAGAGCCAAAGGGCCGCTTGCTGTATTGGGGCCCCACACACCCTGGCATACACTCAGACCACGGCTGAGCAACTTGTCCATAGCCCACGGCACCAGTGTCTGTTTCTGTGTTCTCAGTTTGAAAATTGCCTGCCTGTGGGCTGAACGTGCTCCCGATTTTAGCATTTGTTTGGAGCTCACATCTGCCCACTCATCTTGCAGGCAAAGCTGTTTGCATGGAGCTGATTGAAAGTGAACAAGCCAGAAGGAAATGCTTCCCCACCCCACCATGCTAGCATGGTTTCTTCTCCCTGTAGGTGCCTGTTAGCTAGCAGTATTATTCTCTGCTTTCCTGCTCTTTCAGGGAATTGGGGTTCTGTTTGGTTGTCTCCCTGGCTAATTTTTTGGGTTCAGCATATTGCCGACTAAAGATTTTCTCATTGGTGTAAGAAGAATGAATGAATGGTTGGATCAGACCAAGGACATGCATTTGGTATTCTGCTTGCTCTTACAGAGCAGATGCCTTCCATTACTGAGTTTTGATGGAGTTATTTAGAAAATAATAAAACTAACAGCTAAGCACTGATTTTTTTTTGTCTGCATCTTGCATCTTTGCCAGCTTTCCTATAATTATGTCATTCAAGGAAAGATTCTAACCATTTCCCTTCCCCAGCTCCTTTGAGTTGCTAAAGATTGAGATTATGGCCATATTTCTAAGGGAGTAAATTATATGCAAGTGTAAAAATGTCTTTATATGAAGTCATTAGGGATTTTGTACAGTTAGTTAGTGAAATCTTGAATGGGATGAAAAGAGAAGTAGTTCAGCTGACCAGGGTAATGAAGATTAGTGGAGGTGAAAATTAAATTAGATCAGTGGGAGTTAATGAACAGCCTACGGAAAAAGAAATGGAAGAATTGTTAGACCTTTGTTAACTTTTTGGTAATATATTTCCTTGGAAGAACATACACGGAGTTATAGTCAACAAACCAGTGGAAGGGGTAAAGAAATGTCATTAGCAGTAGCGTAAGTGTGACCTCAGAATGATGGGACTTTTATTCTAGGGATATTAGCTACAGTAAAGAAGCTCAACAGTTCACTTAAAAAATTTCCACATGCTCTTGTTGATCTGTAGCTATAGCTCAGAGCTACCCAGTAGAACTTTCTGGTAGGATGGAAATGTTCTGTACCTGTGCTGTTCAATAGTGTAGTTGCTAGCCACAGGTGGCATTGAATGGCATTGAATGTGGCTGGTCCAAATGGACAACTGAAATATTTCTTTAATTTTGGTTAAAATAAATTTACATAGTTATATTTGGTGAGTGCTGCCATTTTGGACAGTTCAGCTCTAGATCTCTTAAGAGCTCCCAGAATTTCCTTGGGTAGGCATATTGCTAGAAATTCGAACTTTGGTTCCCTTAAGAATGTGACCAAGGCAAAGAAGTAATGAAGTCCTAATTTGAATCCCATTCTGGTTTATAATCTGAAAAAAGATCCTCTTTCTCCACTCCAAGAAAGCCAAACATTCTAGAGGGCAGGTGATCCATCGCTTAGCCCCCTGTTCTTTTTAACATCTGTTATTGATTGGATGGAAGGGACTGGCCAGGGTCAGTTAGGGTCAGCCAAGGCTCAACAAGGCCAGATGGATACCATTAGAGAAGATCCATGTTTAGTTTTAGTGTCATTAGCATTCTGTTGTGAAGAATGCCCTGATTTAATGTTAAAGTCCTTTAAAATGTAGACTAATATGAAACGCTCATTTCCATAATGTACTTTTCCATTTCCATGCATGATACTAACAAGAAGCTCTGGAATTCATGGCTTGGTTGTTGAAATCTCTGCTGTTTTACAGCAGCAGTCTTGGAGTCTGCCCCAGCAGACCGAGCAGGAATGGAAAGCTCCCCAGCAGCAGATGCCACAGAACTTTCACCTTGCAGGTCCCCCTCGACTCCCCGGCACCTCCGCTATCGCCAACCTGGAGGTAAGAGCTCAGAAAGGCACTCAAATAGAAAAGGTATTTCTGGTTCTGAATCTCTGCTTTGCTTTACTGTTTTATTCCTCTAAGTACATTTTAGTATAAGTTGTAAAATCTAATTGGAAACGAATAATGTAACTGTAGGACCAAAGAGTGGGAAAATAAATGATTAGAGAATGTATCTTCAGTTTGATGGATATTTGTTTGTTCTCATGATTGCTTTGCATTTTGTATGGAATAATATGAATCAGAAGGCATGTCTAGCTTATGACTAGGAATATCAGTGCCATTTTACCAAAACATGGCCAGATTCTGATTCCTTAACATGAGTTCAAGTGTAGTCTATATAAATAGGCTCATCTGGGATATCACAATTTGGGGAAATCTTATTAATGACACTCTTACATCTAAAATAAAGTTTATTTGCATGGGAACCCAACATTATTGCTGCAGGAAAAAACCGGTATGTTTTGTTTATATACGGTTATGAAATTTGTAAAGTATGATCCTGTAATTTGAAAAATCAGAGAAAAAAGTAGGAATCTTTCATATTCTCATTTTCCCCACTCACTGCTCCAATAAATATATCTAAATAACTGTTTTTTTGAAAATTTTTTTATCCTTAATCCAATTATTTCAAATCAGAAGAGAAAATTATACAATTATGAAACAAGATTCACCCCAAGGTAACTCTAGTAAAATGCAGAGGCATTTTTTGACTTTCATATTCATGCTTCAAGAGCATTTTGGCCAAAGATAAAGTGCATGACTCCAAGTGGGCATTTCATTTGTGGCCTATTCCATTGGTGGAAGCTGACTCCAAAAGCAGCTAGAAGGGTCAGGGATAGGTGTTTGTCAGAAGATTTACCTTGATGGATGTCAGCTTCCAGGGCTTTCAGGCTCCTGGTCAATTATGGATCGCTCTGCCATTTAGGTGCTCCTGGTAAATGAAGGTGACAAGCTAGACCTTCCTGGCATGTCATGAGACTACTATGGAGTTAGACAAATCCCTCTACTATTCTTAGAGCCTTGGTCAACCCAGGTTTTGGCAGCTTCTTGACCATTGCCATATAGGGCAAGTCCCTTAGGCTCACTGCAACCTAGAACAATTGTGATCAAAGCCCAGGGTAGCAAGATTCTATCAAAGCAAGAGTTAAATGCTGTTCACTTTGTTACTCTTATGAGAGCTGTTTTATATTCTTATTATGTGTTTGTATTCACAAATAAAATTTTAATTTATGTAAAGATTATTTGAAATTATCATCCTTTTCATGGCTTAACTGAACTCCCCTTTTGTGGGAATCTGGGAATTGAACCCAGGGATGCTCTACCACTGAGACAGGGTCTCACTAAACTTCTGAGGCTGACCTTGAATTTGACATCCTCTTGCCTCAGCCTCCCAAATTGCTAGGCTTACGGGTGTGCACCCCCCCGCCACGCCCAGCTAACTAAGCCCTTTGTTTCTTCCCCAATATGACTAAATTATATAGACAGGAATTTAGGAAGGAGGCTGAAATCTGTGATAATGTGGTAGATCCAAATGGGAGAGAATAGCACCTGTTTCCTCATTGTCTAGCCAACATTTTGCCTCTTTACCTATCTACTTGCCACCTGCTTTTGTGCTTTCATTAAGCAGTACTTTGCTTCTTTCTTTATTTAAAGCATGCCTGTATAACTTCAGGATCAAACTAATAAAAATTCTTCAGATCAGAATCATAGCAGAGTGTTTCCACTAAAAGCCTAGGGGAGGTTGGATCAGCATTATCAGAAACAGATTCAGAAATGAAGGGGGCTGCGAAGACTGCTCAGGCCACCCTTTTGATGTTAGAAGAGCTACACCTAACACTTCCCTACTTTTAAAGGTGTTTTGGAAAGGTAATACTATCAATAAATGATGTAGAATCTTTTAAAAAATATTTCTTTATTGAGATATAAGTCACATACCATAAAATTCACCCCATGAAATTGGATAGTTTAGCAGTTTTTGTGTATTCACAGGGTTAGGCAAATGTAACTACTGGTTAAATCCAAAACATTTTCATCACCCAAAGAGAAACTCTGGACCCATCAGCACCCACTCTTTATTCCTGTCTCCCTCCAGTCCTGGCAACCATGAATCTATTTTCTGTATGGACTCACTTGTTCTGGACATTTAATATGAAGGCAATCATACAATATGGGATCCTTTGTGATTGGCTTCTTTCCCACAGAATAATACTTTTTGGATTCGTTCATGTTGTAGCATGTGTTAGAACTTTATTCCTTTATTATGACTGAGTCATATTTCCTTTTTGTTTATCTGTCTGTCAGCTGATGGATGTTTGGTTGTTTATATTTTTTGCTACTGCGAATAATGCTGCTATGGATCACGCACAAGTTTTTGTGTGGATGCATGTTTTCCCCCTCTTGGTTATGTACCTACAGTGGAATTCCTGATGTACAGTACTACTGTTTGCCTATTAGTGGGGACAGAACAGGGCTTTTGGCCCAACCCTTCATCCAGTGTAGGAATAAAAATGAGAATTTTTCATTCTAGAATAGTGTCCACCTGCTTCATCTTTTCTATTCCTTTCTTTTAAAATAACCAGGACAGACAGCTGACAATGCCCACTGCTCTGTTTCGCCAGCTTCCGCTTTTGCAATTGCCACGGCAGCAGCAGGACATGGGAGTCCACCAGGTGAGTAGGGAGAGCACCTGTGTACAGACACATGGCAATTTATATTAAATCAGTGGCTCCCGACTGCCAGAATCCTAATAATGATGGGAGCTTCCAGTTCCTACTCTGAGTCAGTGTGCTTGGGTTAAGACTCATTTAAATAAGCACCTTCAGAAATCCTGTGTTTCGTAATGACATGGATGAACCTGGAGAATATGGTGTTTAATGAACTAAACCAGTCATAGAAAGACAAGTACTGCATGATCTCATTCACATGTGGAATCTAAAGAAGTCAAACTCACAGGAGCAGAGCATAGAATGTAGTTCCCAGGGCCTGGGGTGACCGTGCTGGATGAGTGGGGAGATGTTGTACAAAGCTCACAGAGTCTCAGCTCAAAAGGAGGAGTAGTTTCGAGAGATCCATTTTACAATGTGGTGAATACAGTTAATAATTATGTACTGTATATTCGGAAATTGCTGAGAGTAGATTTTAAATGCTTTCACCACAGAAAAAGGTGAGTGATAGATGTTAATCAGCTTGATTTACTGATTCCACAGTGCATGCACATATCAAAACATCATGTTGGACCCTATAAATATGTACAATAAAATTGAACAACTATGTTAATAAACAAGCATCTTCAAGTGAGTGTCCCACGGGTGGTTGGTGGGCCACACTTCTGAGAAATCCTGTATAAAAGAAGGATTCATCACTACTGCCCTGTTCTTTTATTGTGTTCTGCAACCATTTTAGCCAAGTGACCGAGAACAAGTTGCATTTTAACTGAGTCCGATGCCAAAAGCCTGTGCCAAGTCGGGGGGAGACTCATGAAGGGGGAGCACTGCTGGAGCTGACTCACGGCTCATTTCCTCTAGCTCCACGGTTCCTTCTGAGTTTCTGTCAGTTAATGTTCAGGGTAAAGAAGAGGCACTTAAAATAAAAGCACCGTGTTTTAATAGATGAAAATTATATTCATTATCACTGTCCTCTTCTCTCATAGGCAAGGAGGACATTATGTTAAAGTGAATCTGTAAATGTTAAACCAGACCTGTTTTCATCTGCACTAATCCTGAGGGTTCCAGTCGAGGTGGGTGGGCTCTTGAGAGGTGGTGTATTTTCCTCCTTAGGCATTTCACCTACCATGGAAGAGTCCTTTTCCAGAGCCCATGAACCTGTGTTCCAATAGAAACTAGAAGGGATTATCTGTGTGATTTATTAGAAATTGCAGAAAAAAAAGAGGTGCTCATAATGAACACAAATTACCACACTAATTTTATATACCCCATCTAAATAGAAATTTTGCAGATTTACCACATTCCACTTCTTGAACACTTTGCTACACACACTTCAATGGATGTGGTCAAGCAAATTGGGGTATTCTTTGCTCCAAATATTCCTGAAGGCTTCTTCCACCAATTCCATTAGCATGACACAAAGTAGCCTATAGTGATTATATCGTATCACTGATATCTTGTCAATGCAGTTGACTTCTATTGTTAATTGCATTGTATAATAATAAACACTTTTCTGGTGAAATAATAGGGGACTCTGCTACACTTTCATCAGAATAAGTCACCAGTTGTGGTTTTTGAAGACCTGTTCCTGTCTTGCATTCTCACAAGCTAGTCTGTCCTTGGCAAATGAGTCAAATACAAGAGCATCCTTGCAGTTTTCCTCATTTAAGTATAGGTTGTAAGGGAAAATAGTTTTTGATCTAATTTGAGATGAGCCCAACTCCTAAGTGGGGAAGGTCCCTTTCCACTTGAGATTGCAGTGAAGACCACCATTCTTACCAGCTTTAGAGAATGGCTTCTCACCTGTCCATGCAATTGCATCTAAAAGAAAAAGAAACATAAACAGTCAGGTCTATCTTTCTTTCTGAACCTCTGCTGCTTCTGCCACTGCCTTTTAGTTCTCTTTCTGCCCTGCAGCTGGAGTAGCCTTAGGAAGATGCTCTTCAATAAGCTACCCACTGGGAGGGCCCCCAGATTTGCTAAGCTATCATAGCTACCTTGCTCTGTGCAAGACAGTCTGAGTTCTGGGTGAGCAGACTGCTTTGTCATTAGAATGCTATTAAATGTTGCCAATCATGCAGTTGGAGCCACATGATTTGATTATAGAAGTAAAAGCAATAAGGAATTGGATTTGACAGTGCCCGTGGCTCTACTGTAAAGGCAGCAGGTTGCACGTGAATTGATTTTTGACTGCCATGGTAAGAAAGGGGATGTCTTTGGTAGTAGGACCAGTACATTCCTGGTGCTCAGCCACTTGGCAGAGCTGGCCCCACAGGCAATTCCACCTGCCTGAGAGAACTGGGCAGAAATGTTTTACTGGTCCTAAAGAATAGGACTTAGAGCAGATCCAAAGAAGTGCTAGGAAAGTGGTCTGGCCTCATTAGCTGGCCAGGGAGAGCATGGTGTGTTGTCCAGGGTGAGGCAGGACCCCGGTGCACAGACAGATATTCCAAGGGAAAGAGTGTTACATAAAAGTCAGGTCTCTATGGACTTGTATCTACTCTCTGAATCAAGAATTGCAGACCCAAAGTCACCCTAGAACCTGGTGAGTTGCACAGGGAGCAGGAAGAAGGTTGATGTCAACACCTTATGCTTTCATTAGCCTCGGTAGGCTTCCTGTCTGCTGGGCTAGCACACTCGGTGGTGCAGCTCTGCTGTGTTCTGGCCCCTTGCAAGAAACAAGGCACGGCCTGCCCAAGCCATGGGGGCTGCAGGGTGAGTTCCCATGATGCAGGTTCCTCTTGCTTTACTCCTCTCCTACCTCCAACCCTGTCCACCTCCAACAAAATAGACAGGACCCTGGCAACCCTGGGTTATAACCGACGATTAATGACTATGCTTTCAAACATTCTCTCCAGACATTGCGTGGTAAGCCATTTCTCTTTAGTTACTGTTTGGAAGGCTTTCTTATTGCATCAAAAAGAATTTCAGATTTGGCAAGAGTTTGGGTAGCACATTTCCTTTACAAAGAAGGCAGACCAGAGGCTCCTGCTTGGCCCTGGAACCAGGGGAGAATGATTTTATTTGTGGACAGTGGCTCTGTTCAGGATCACCTGCTCTGCCAACAGAAGTACAGCCTGCCTAATTTCTACATGCATGGAAAAGTCTGGATTTTTTTTTGTCTTTATTTTTATTTATTTATTTATTTTTTTTTTTTTTATAGTATAAACCCACCCTTTCCAAAAATGGGTAAAACACTGTCTTCCATATCATGCCTCCTTTGCTTACCTTAGTCTACCTCTCCCATCCAGAGGACATATGCTTTCTGTGAAGGTGGCAACCTTTTGGGAGATCCTGATGGCTTTTTAGGTAGATGGATGGCCAGTCTTAGGATTTTGTAGCATTATGCTTCCCAAATTACTTCTCCCTGTTTATCATGCTCCTCTGACACAGGCTCACATCACAGGAGCACAAGTGTCATTCATTGTCTCAGCTTTCCCGATTCATTTCAGCTACTTACGTGCAGCCTATCTTTGCTCTGTTTTCTTTCCTCCATACTTCTCAGTATTAGGCATACTGGATAAATTTTATTAATTTATCTTGCTTACTTCTATTGCTCTAACAGAATAAAAGATCCACAGGGGCAAGGATTTTTGTTCATTTTATTTTCCACAGTCGTCCCAATGTCTAGAGTAGTATTGTACACATAGTAGATGATCAATGAATGTTTATGAAAAGAGATATGAATCAATGAATAGATCACACTTTGTAATAAAGTAGATTTGGTGCAGAAAAGAAAAACCTGTACCTGGCTGTGTGTTTATTGTGCTGGAATGTTTTAAATCACTGGATGTTGTTGTTATTCTTGTTTTTTTGTAAGGCAAAATAATTTTGTCCATTTCTCCAAATGACTTGGGAAGGGATGTCAGTCACTGCAACCAGTAAGGGGCTTCTGAGTGACTCTTGGGCTTAGTACCACTTCTCTGAATACCCACAGCCCTGAGCTGAGTATATCCGATCATCAAGAATGAGGCAGCTGGGTAACTTGCTGCCTCATTCTTGGTGGGATATAAGATTTTCCTCTCACACACAGGATTGGAAAGGGCTTGAAATCTGGGGTCACCTTGAGTGTTTGCTGACAGTCAGAAGGCAAGCACTAACCAAACGGTCAAAGCTTCATACTCTCTGTTAATAAGAACTGATTTTGTATTACAAACATATCCACCAAACCAGGCATTTCTTCCTTTCCCAAAGAGGTCCTGTTGTTACTCTCCAGGCTATATTAGGCCCAGTTATAGGTGGATCCAGAATCTGTGGGCCTAATGCTTATGAAAGAATATGAAATTACAGATATAAACCTTCAGGGCATCTCCCAAGACTTTGGAAGAGACCCATACCAACTGAGAGGTCCTAAACCTAAGCTTCATTGATGTCCTGGTACATATACTTTTGAATCTGCTATGGTTTGAATTTGGGTAATCACCCAAAGGTCCAGATGTTAAAGGTTTGGTTCTTGGTGGTGCTATGGGGAGGGGGTGCCTTATGGGAGGTATTTAGGTCACTGGTGGCCCTCAAACGGAATTGTGACCCCATCAGTCCTCTTGGTCTCTCTGCTTCCTGGCTCATAATAGCAAGTGGCTTGCTCTGCCACACTCTCCTCCCCATTGCCATCCAGTGCCCTCCTCAGACACCCAAAGCAGTGGGGCAAACCAGTCTTGGACCAGAACCATGAGCCAAATAAACTTTTTCTCATTATAAAGTAATTGGCTCTGGTGTTTGTAACCCAAAGATGACTGATATGGAGTCCAATTCAGATAATTATTGGAATCACAAGAGCTACAGGCAATTTTGTACATTGGGTAATGGAGCTGGGGGTATGGATGATCATCAACCAGTCATTAGCAGTCTTTCTTCTGAGTTCATCCAAAGGTACATGGTATAATGAAAATAGCAGCACATGTCATCAATTAAAAATGAGCTGTTGACTAGGTATTAATAATATACAGACCCCTGTGGAGACTAGTTGGGTTAGTTTTGGGTAATGGTGAGTAGACCATAATACTGTA